TCGCCAAATGCACTGACAGTGTCTGTCGACTCATTGTCAGCGACCAGATGTGCAAACTGTGGACACTGTGGACGCCGTCGATATCCATCAGGTCCTTCTTAACGGCCGTGTAGTCCATATGCCGGGGGAAGCCCTCCATCAGGACATACACGGCGTCCCTCATAATGCCATAAGTGGTAAACATCACTAATACGCTGAAAATGAAGGTACAAATGGGATCAGCTATCTTGTAATCGGGCCTCAAATGGATTATAAGCGCCGCTATTAATACGCCAACACTTTGGATCAGATCTCCGATCACATGGATTAGTGCCGCTCTGCAAATCACAGACAAAATGTTTACATTAATAAAAATTTTAATGAGTTTTTATAACGAATGGTACACTATATGAGTACACTATATGAGGACAAAATTCGGATATGAATTGTGATTATACCTAACATTCATATTGACGTGTGAGTGGCCATGGCTTGCGTGTGAGTGGCCGTGACTGAGGCCACTGTGTTGGCTGCGATCGTCCGCATGTTGTGGTCGTTTACGGCAACAAAACACGTCCGACAAAGTAATTCCCATCACTATATTCATGACAACTCCCACTCCGGACACTATAAGCATAGTATTGGAGTCGATCTCAAAGTCGTTTGTGCGGACCCTCTCGATGGCCAGATAGACGAGAACACCGGTCAGTATCCATATCATTAAAATACTGGTGACGGCGCCCAACACCTCAGCCCTATGGTAGCCAAAGGACATACGTTTGGTGGGCTGTCGACGGCTGATCCATATGGCGAAGAGGCTGAGTATAAAACTGGCCAAATCTGACAGTAGATGTGCCGCATCTGTTTGTGTTTGTTATTCAACGCTGTATTAAATGCATAAATATTTGCATATTTTAAATGCAAAACATGTAGTCGTTTATCAAAATGCATACAATTTCCTTAACATTATTTAAAATATTTATCATGCATTTAAATCCGTGTATTTTATGTAACTTTTAATGAATTTTAAATAAATTAATTTCTAATATTTTTGTTTTTCAATAGTTTTTTTTCAAATAATGTCATTTTCAAGAGACTATTCCTTGCATATGATGTGCAATGAATTAATTGTCATTTTTATCATTAACTTAACACTAATACCTGATATTTCTCACTAAATGTCTACTGATATTTAGTTTTCAAGTGTTGTTTGGCTTGATTTGGGGGTTCATTAGGGTTTGAATTGATAAATGTTTGTTTGTGTTCATATTGAATGGAAAATTAAACATATTCTTGTTGCCGAGACCTTGATAAAACTTTTATCTATTATAAAATGTGCTAAATTCATTTATTATTATTTAAAGGTCTATTTAAAATTCAATGACATGCAACTTATACTA